TTTTTATAAAAGTGAGTGAGGGGGGGGGGGGGGGGGGAAGGAAAAGCAAAAGCACACAAAGTTGTTACTACTTACCTCAAAATCTGGAGAGAAAGTGAACATGAAGGTCTCCCCAGTGCCATAAAAGCCATCACTCACTTTAAATGGTTCAGATGCTAGTGCACCAAAAACCTGTAAGCAAAAAAATGCTAGAGAAAATACTTCAAAACTACACAGCATCTGAGAATCTCTAACGATAGTAACTGATAAGCAAATCAGGTTGCAAGTGTTGCCAGATTTGGAATTCACTACTGGATAAGCCTTACATGGTATCACGGTTCCAAGTGCATCGATTGAGATATGGTATGGTGCTTTGTGGTACAATAAAATAAAAAAGGTAAGAGGACTCTTTCTCAATAAAAAGTGAACATAGTAATAAAAAAAAGTAATCAAAGGGATAAAAAAAACCCAGGAAATTCTCAGAAACAATGTACATGTTTTTAAAGTTTCAGATGAAAAGGTTTTGCTCCTTCATACGTAGCTCCTCTTCCACTTCAACTAGGTGATTTTCAGCAAGTAATCAGCTGTATCTGAGTTATTTTTCATGTAATTTATTCATTCCAATCCAAATAACAAGTAAACAGTGGTTACCCTGTCTCACAACAGAAAGAGATTTTTAACTAAGTCTTTGCTGGGTAGGAGAAGTATTTATAATATTCAGAAATAAGAACATTATAACAGTAGTTAAAAAGGTCTAAGGACTGATTATTGGATTTTTAAATCTGATTAAAGTAGTATTGATTTCTCAAGAACTAGAAAAAACCCTCCTGCATAATTACGCAAAATCAGCTATACCCCCTGAAGTACAACCCTCCCAAAAATCAGTATTTCTGTTGCTAGTAGGAAGCTGGTTTCAACATCTGCAAGAACAGAGTAGACACAAGTACCAAAGCCCTCTACCAGCACGCTCTCATTTGTCTGTATGAGAAAGAAAAAAGCCAAAATGAAGTTTCTGTGGTTTTGTTCACATTAAACTATGAATTTAATTTGAGAATCATGGGAGTGATAAAAGTGAGATGTTAAATCTAGTGTCCTGGCTTAGATTATGTTCAGGATATAAAATAGAAACTATTTTATTCTGCCATCCTAAGAAACAATTTGGCCATAGGTAGGGTTTTCCAATCATTCCTTTCCATGTGGAGCTCTATAGTGGCTGTTAAACACAAAACTAGGGTGTGAACTTCAGATCAGGAACTCAAGGATTATATACAGCTATCAAGCATCAAATAAAAGACCACCCCAGCTCAATTTTGGGTTACTATGTAAGAACAACCACTGTTATAAAATTCCTTATTTCTCAGGAATTTTATGTGGTCCAGAAAGTTTCTTGTTCAGAAGCTTTTAAACGAAATAAAAGATAGCAACCCTGAAAGAAGAGTCATGTAAAAAAAAGATGTGGTCATTATGAAGCAAAACACCCTCCTGCCCTCAATATAACCAGTCAGTGGAAGACTGTGTGAGAAAAAAATTGCTACTCTTCTAAAGAATATCAGGGATAATTTTCTTCAAACATCTTGATAACTTGAGACACAGTCTGATGTGGATTAATGTATCAATCATGCCAGAGATGTTTTGAAGTCTTGATCTTCTAATAATTTTGAAAAAAGTGTGCACAATAGCAAACAAAATTAGTTTGATACAGGTAGTACCGCACATTTTAGAAGTCACTGTTGAGACCCCGCTGTTACAGAGCAGAAGTGAGGTAGGGCTTACATACCAAACTTCCTTTAAGTCATAACACCTACAGAAGCTTCCTTATATTATTATTACTTTATTTATATTATGTAATATCACTACACCGACAAGGTACTTTAACTCATGTGTAAAACTGTTCCTTTACTTAAGTGAAGAGAATTACCTTTGAGAATACATGTGACCAGTATTTACATTCTAGTATCTGACTCTCTGGAGGATTGAACTTACTTGACAAGGTGATGAAATAAAGTATCATGGTCAGCCCAAGGTGCTCATTTTTCAAAGGCCTGTATCAGTTTCAGATGCATTGTTAAATAGCAAATTCAGTCTAAAAGCTTGAAGTTCCATGAACTGAGGTGCAAGCTTCTGTACCTCTGCTTTAATGCAAACTCACAGGAGAACTAGCCCAATCCTTTTTTTTGCACATTTATTTCATTCAACATATCAAACACTGGCAGGGCATTGCTCTGTTATCCCACAGTCTAAATGACAAGAATAGGCTTAACAGAGAAAGAAACTACTACTTATGTTTTGCTTTCTGGGGAAATTGGACCAAATTGGACCGAAGTGAAGGAATTATTTAAAGAAGAAATGTTTGGTTTCCTGTTACTTTCCAGAAAGCTCCCCCCCCGCCCCCGCCACGCCAGGTAGGCTTGCAGTTAGTCCCCAATGTTATTAAGACCTACAGCTTTTTATACTTTTTTTTTTTTTAGCCCATTACTAGTTAGATGGCCTTGTGGGTCAGAAAAAGTTCAAGTAAGAGTTGATCAAGTATAACATCCAATGCAATCACTTAGTAAAACATTAAGTGATCATATAGTCAAACAGCAGCAATAGTGTAAAAAAAAAAAAAAGATCACAGAAGTCCATCTCAATTTTAGCATGATAGGTGATGAAATGCTAATTAGAAAACAATAAGGGTTGAAAAAAAGAGGAAAATGAAATTAGGAATTAATTAGATCTGAACACTGTTAGTTGACATTTGTGGAAAATAAGCTGGCTTAAACACAATCATACTTAGTGCTACAAAAACAGGCAGAGTGTTCTGTTCCCCCACAATTTGTGAAGAACTCAAAATTTACATTATAGACAAGGCAGTTACAACTGCTATTTGAGTTCACATTTAAATTAAGAGAAGGAACAGTTGTCCTATTAGAAGGAACACTAACTCTAAAATCCTTTTTCTAAGAACAGGCATGGCTCAGTTGAAATATGTTTTAAGTGAAAAGACTTCCAAGAGCATTTCAGACTAGATGACAATTTAGATTGATAGTAGTCAATCATTCTAAGTCGGTACTTTGGGTATTGCTTAAAATTATCTATAAGTAAAAAGGAGAAGGATTCTTTCATGCATGCTTTACTTAGTTTTGGCTAAAGGCTTTTAATGACTTAATTCATTACAAAATCAGGTCTTCCATCAAACCTTTACAAATTATTGGTTCATTGTCCTTCAAAGACAACTGACCAAATATCAAAGTCTTAGATACTAGGTATTTGATTACCCTAATCTTCAAGTTTCTATCAACTGAGTTGTTTAGCAACATAACATTGTTTTAGGGTTTTATTTCAGTCTCACAAAAACAATTACCTCCAACCTTGACTTCACACATATTTTCTGCAACAATAGAATTTGAACTTTAAGACAGTATTTCATTTTTTACCTTATCTTTACTACCTGTTCCACTAACTGTAAATATTAAGGTTAAAAATTAGAGATGAAAGAGTCAGAAAGAATGCATAATTGCTGTAGGCTTAGGGTTTTTTGTTGTTTTAGTTTTACTTTTGCACATACAATCTTTAAAAAAGCAGAACAGGTGAGACATTTTTTCTTCCTCTGATTTCAAGTGTCTGGGGCAGTAGGTTAGACTTCAGGAGCCTCAGAGTTAACTTTTCTCTATCAAACATTTTGCAACCTTTGACTGTGCTTACTGTATGCAGGTAATTGAACTTAATGGCTTAATGGGAGCATCTTTTAGGGTAAAAATCCATATTGAATTCAAATTAATAAAGTTTAATTCACGAACAGAACAAAATGGGCTGCTGAAATAAGGAAAACTCCATGTTTAAATAACTTAATGGAATATTTTCCAGCAACTTCACAGCAATGGGAAGCCATTGAACCCTTGCAATTATTTCTTAATTTATGCATAGCTTCCAACTATCTTCAAACTATCCGAGTCTCTGGATCCTAACTTTATAAAGGCTCCAGTTATTCTTTGGAGAGCAGCTCTGATAGCTACATTTGGGTAGCTAAGACGTCTTGGTTCAGATCAATACCCTCAGTGCTGATGTTACATTTAGTCAGTAAATAAGTAAAAAATGAAGTAAATATAAGATTTCATTAACAACTGACGTTCCTTGAAAGGAATTAACCTTCTGTTAAAACCAATCCTAAACTATCTCAGTTCAGTCTCTACACAGGTATGAATTTTCCACACAACGCTTACTTCAGTGTTTGTCTCTGATCATCTCAGGGCTCTTATTTGTATACCCCTAAAATGCCAAGCTAGTACACCCTAACCATATGGAAAACCTTACACGCTTTTCTTAAGAGACTTTGAAGCTCGCTTCACATACAGATACAGGAGAAGTATTTTATTTCTAATTGTAGAATAACTTAGGTTATAAACAACCTCAGACAGTCTCTCATACAGTTCCCTACTCAAGCAGGGACTAATTCTGAACCTATATTGGGTTGACTAAGTCTTGTCCAGTTAAGCTTTGAATACCTCTGGGAATCAGGATTCCACAACCTCTCTGTGTACATGTTCTATATGCTTCTATCAACAAATCTGGGTCTTGAAAGATCACGTTGTTGCTATAAGCAACATTAAAAAAATCAGGCTTTACAGCAAGAGCAGTTTGCTTCCCATTAGTTTAGTCCTTCGAGAAGTGATGTCTATAGAGTCTCTGCATGAGATCAGGTCATTGTGGGTAGTTGTTAGGGCGGGTAACTAAAATTCCCAACTTCTAGACTCCATGTCTCACACTTTTGCAGTGTATATAATACAACCTGAAGAATGACTTACAAAACTAGACAGTCCTTGGGGTGGTTAACTGCATTAACTCCACTTCTAGACCATCCACTTGTTTAGTGACTCATGTTCAGGAATTAGGTGTTAATTTCTTTTTAAATGGCTGTCAGAGTAGACACTAAAGCTTGGTGTCCTCACAAACAGAGGTACATACCAGTAACAATTTTAATGTAGATATCTACAGATTTCTTGGGCACCTTTATTAAGGATGTCCCAGAATTGACTACAGCAGGCAATTTAGGTGGCTTCAGATTCCAACTTTCAGCTAGACAGTGGTTCAGCTTTTACAAAAATAAAGCTTTAGTTTGTGCAAGTTCAGTGTTTCAGCTGAGTTTTTTTTACAGCCCTTTAAGTAAAATTGCTAATTCATTTTAAAAAGAAATCAAGATTTGGAGAGGATTTTGGAAAAAAATACGGTTAGGCTTAGCAGCCTTTAACAAACCATATTGTGAAAAGTTACAAGATACACTAGCTCCTTACTCATCTTCTTGTCAACATCAGATAAAGGCTGTCTTCATAACCATGGACAACAAAGAGTCTTAGAAGTAGCAGCCCAGGACATAAAATAATTCTAGATTGAAGGAAAAGTACTTCAGAGGATAAACATAGAGGATCTTTCATAAACATAGAAGCTACAAAGCAGACAGAACAAGGAATGTTAAGAAGGACTGAAGAGGTATGCTCAGCAAATGACAAGAAACTCTGGTCATAATTCTGTCATTCGTCAATAAGGCTGAATCTCATTTGGGATCTTCTATGAACTAGACAACTTAGAAAACAGGCAGTGATCTTGGAGCATACAATATGAAAACACCTGGTCCCTCAAAACAAATACTATTTATACCCTTCCAGAATGTATCTTAGCCTATTCCTAGTGAACTATTTCTGGATACACTCTCCTATAAAAAAGTACTCAGATTCTTTTCCAGTCATGGAAAGCAGTTTTATAAGCCTATCTGCCAAGAAGCTCCAAGATATTAAAGATAAATTAACCACTTTCAAAAAACCCAGTAGCTTCTTTAAAAAAAAGGATGACCCTGATTAATTGCTGTGAAAGGGCATAGTAGGCTACCATTTTCTTATTTTTTTTTTATTGTGGACCCTTGCGTCAAGAGGAGAAAGACTCTAGACCAAATTTCCATAGGTTTTGAACAGAAAGAGAACGTAAAATTAATTTTCTTCTGTCAAATGCAAAGACATTTCTCATTAATGGCCTGAGACACAGAACTGAAAACACCACTCTCACTACATTGGTGAAGGACTGAGCATGTAAAACTTGTCTGAGCCTTTCCTTCTGTAGCATATGTTACTCACTATATACATATGGATTGCACTCACTCTTGTGTGGAACCTAGGTAAGATCTGACATGCATGGTGAAAGACAAGTTCAGTGGGTATTTGACCCAAAAGCCCAAGGAACACTTTCAGACATGGTCCTGGGCATGACCCTGTAAGCTGAGATTTGTCATGGTTTGTTTCACAAAAAAATTATGACATGTCCATGAATTCCGTGTTTTGACTGGGCAACCATGACAGTTTTTGAACATGTTGAGACATTCATATATGGAAGGTAATGTGAATACTTTCAGCAACAGAACAATACTACATGCTGGTGGAAAGAGAGCTCTATGAGAAAGAGGACATTTTCCTTCTGGGCCAGATAATCAGGTACTAGGAGGTATGTATCTTACAAATTAATCTTGAGAAGCTATTGAGGGCATCAGAGAAAGCAAAGGTTACCAAAGTACATTTAAGAGGCTGATGGGTCTGTTGAGACATCTCAAGTCCATTGAAGAGTTTTTAATCTTCAAGATAAAAAAGTAAATGAAGAAAAAGTTCCCTTTGAAAGAACTTCTGTGAAAGAGTGCTCTACTAGCAGAGATTTGCAAGGGATTTTACTTTTTAAGGGATCCCTGAGGCAGGAAACAAGGAAAAAAGTAGTTGTGACTTGAATTAGAAGACATACCCTTCATTTACAGTTTTCAGACCCCCTGAATGATATGAGGTGATATGAGCCCATGCTTCCTGAAAATAAAAACAGTTGTTACTATGGTGGGACAGATATGTGAAGTAAATGCTACAGATTTTGCAGCGGTTCTGTCAATTCTTCATGACAGCAGTAACTTGCTTCCACAAGAGAGCACAGAAGTTTCAGAAAGAAAGGATCAAAGTCTCATGCTGCCTGTAATGTTCACCTGTTATTAGAATACTCAAGAGAGGATGTTTGCTATTCAAATGGTGAGATGTGATCCACTTTCTGGAATTCATACCCCAGTCAAAGGAGAACAAAGTACAACTAGAGAGATTCAAGGAACAAAAATTAATTATGCAGCAAAGACCACACAGCCCTTGAATGGGAGAGAGATGTTGCCTGCAGCTGCAAAATATACCAAGAAGCACTTGCTGCAGCTGGCAATAACATTCCAACTCAACAAGATCTTCCAGCATCAGAATGTTTTAGACACTATATTTCTCATGCTTTAAGTGCATTAAAAAAGAATATTGAAAGTAAATTCAGTAATTGGGTATTATGAGATTCATGCATTGTGACAGTGAACTTGTATCATTAAAGTATTTCCTAGAAACGTAGTATGTCAGAGGATTGCTTGACAGTGAAACATGTTTTTAAAAGCCTCTATGTAACTACCAAGGAGAAAACCAGTTTGATACATACAATTTTCTCCCCCATGATGGACTGAAGTATCAGCTCTTCCTTATACTCCTTAAACATTTTCCTTGATGGGTCCCCTACCCCCACACATTTTCCTACCTGTCCATCACTGTCCTTGATAACCAACAGCACAGGCGTGTCTAATCCCAGCATAGTTCGATACAAAGTCTTCAAGCTCATGCCATGCTTTGCAGTACTGTAGACAAGAGTCCATGGATATCCAATGGTCCTTGGTGGAAGGGACTTGGTGAGCTGTTAGCAAGACAATGACAACCCTCTTATTTAATATATTTTTCTACTATTTTTAAGAATACATTACATATAAATGAAAGCAGATTATGTTTTTCTGAACCACAAGTGCCCTTAAAAGCTAGTTTAAAACTTCAGACGAGCCCTAAAGTTTCACGTGCGTATTTTCTATCCCTGGGCTCTCAAGCAGGTTTCTTTTCCTACCTCTACCAGTGACCTGCACGAGAAGAATGATTTACCAACGGAAGAACATGTGTTTGGTAAGGTCTTTAAAAGATATATTTAAAGACAGTAAAACCACAGAGTACCATTATGCAGGAATAATCATGTGTCAGTACTGGGGAATTAGATCACTCAAGTCAACGGATACTTCCTCTCCTGTTCTGTGCCTTTCACTGCAGTCAGCCTTAATCCAAACCTTCAGTAAACACATTTAATGAGACGACTTTGGACTGGACAGCAAGAAGTGCACTGAAAGTCAAGCTGTTTTCAAGAAAGAATGAAATAAGGGCAAAGACACAGACTAGTATTCTAATGGTGCATTGAAAGCTATGATAAAAAGAAAAAAGAAATATTGTAGCTATGAATTGTGTTGTGCTTATGCACTTAGACACACACAAGTCTATGGGGCCCGATGGGATCCACCCAAGCGTACTGAGGCAGCTGGTGGAAGTGCTCACCAAGCCATTTTCCATAATTTATCAGCAGTCCTGACCAACTGGGGGGGTCCCAGTTGACTGGAGATTAGCCAATGTGACACCCATCCACAAGAAGGGCCAAAAGGAGGGTCTGAGGAACTCCAGTCCTGTCAGTCTGACATCCGTGCCAGGGAAGGTTATGGAGCAGGTCACCTTGAGTGCCATCACGCGGCACGTACAGGACAACAAGGCAATCGGGCCCAATCAGCATGGGGTTATGAAAGGCAAGTCCTGCTTGACTAACCTGATCTCCTTCTATGGCAAGGTGATCCACTTAATGGATGAGGGAAAGGCTGTGGATGTTGTCTACCTGGACTTTAGTAAAGCCTTCGATACAGTTTCCCACAGCATTCTCCTGGAGAAACTGGCTGCTCACAGCTTGGGTAAAAAACTGGCTGGATGGCTGGGCCCAAAGAGTTGTGGTGACTGGAGTGAAATCCAGTTGGTGGCCAGTCACAAGTGGTGTTCCCCAGGTCTCAGTACTGAGGTCAGTTCTCTTTAATATCAATGATCTGGACAAGGGGATTGAGTGTACCCTCAGTATGTTTGCAGGTGACACTAAGTTGGGCAGGAGTGTTCATCTGCTGCAGGGTAGGTAGGCTCTACAGAGGGATCTGGACAGGCTGGATCGATGGACCAAGGCCAGTTGTGTGAGGTTCAACAAGGGTCAGTGCCAGGTCCTGCACTTGGGTCACAGCAAACCCATGCAACACTACAGGCTGCCCAGTGGAAAAGGACCTGGGGGTGGTGGTTGACAGCCAGCTAAGTATTAGCCGGCAGTGTGCCCAGGTGGCCAAGAAAGCCAACAGCATCCTGGCTTCTATCAGGAATAGTGTGGCCAGCAGGACTAGGGAAGTGATTGACCCCCTGGACTCGGCACTGGTGAGGCCGCACCTCAAGTACCATGTTCAGTTTTGGGCCCCTCACTACAAGACAGACATTGAGGTGCTGGAGTGTGTCCAGAGAAGGGCAACGGAGCTGGTGAAGGGTCTAGAGCACAAGTCTTATGAGGGGCAGCTGAGGGAACTGGGGTTGTTCAGTCTGGAGAAAAGGAGGCTGAGGGGAGACCTTATGGCTCTCTACAACTACCTGAAAGGAGGTTGTAGCCAGGTGGGAGGTGGTCTCTTCTCCCAAGTAACAAGTGATGGGGTAAGAGGAAACGGCATCAGGTTGTGCCAGGGGAGGTTTAAATTGGGTATTAGGAAAAATTTCTTCACTGAAAGCATTGTGAAGCATTGGAACAGGCTTCCCAGGGAAGCGGTGGAGTCACCATCCCTGGAGCTATTTAAAAGATGTGCAGATGTGGTGCTTAGGGACATAGTTTAGTGGTTGGACTTGGCAGTGCTAGGTTAACAGTTGGACTTGATCTTAAGGGTCTTTTCCAACCTGAACGACTCTATTCAATATCACACAAGGTCTTGCTACTGGTGTGTCTTACACTATGGTCATAGCATTTGTGATACATTAATGTACAATACTAACGAAAATGACATATATAAGTTAATACCTTTTCAATTTGTTCTGGCTGTAGTAATTCACTGGGATCGCTAAGATTTGGCCGGAATACTTCAGGCTCCAGGTCTGTTTTGATATTGGTTGCTTGTTTTGAATTTATATCTTCTCTTGTTGTTATCTACAAAAAACCAAGAAGAAAATAAGTATTTGCAATTCTATTAGTGGGGAAGATAAACTTTGCAGGTTTAAAATCATGCAGTTACTGATTTATTTATGCAATTCCTTCAAAAGTTACAAAATCCATCAGATTTGATCTGACCAAGATTTCCGCTGCTTCCAAGAGCGAGCCAGTACTTCAACTATATACTAATAATAAATTACAGACACTATTCAGAACAAACCTACAGTTTTATGCTAAAACAACAAAGTGTCCTCGTACACAGCTGAAGGACTTAAAATGCTTTTCAGGTCAGCTTAAAGTTCTTGCATTTTGATACTAACATAGCATTAACATTAAATATAATTAAAAATCCCAAACAGAAAAGGAATTGAAACTTCAACATGGACATTTCTCAGTAGTTTCTGAATCAATATTCTTTTAGAGTACTTGTGAAAGTTTCCAGATCTGTAGTAGACATGTGGAAAGACTGTTGTCAAGTATTTTGAGTAAACTGTCTGAATGGAGCCTTCGGAATATTGCTGCCCCATAAGCTGATCTGCTGGAATACGTATGGGAATCAAAGAAGAAAGAATTGAGAGGGCAGGGAGGGGAAAGCAGCAGTAATACTTATGTTGCATAGTGAGCTTTGATGTCTGGCAAAGATGCACTATGCACAAAGATCCTGTAGCAGTTTAAAATACCTGCCCCATGCATCCACCCTATGGAGTAGTTGTAGATCACCATTTAGTGGAGGCAGAAGGCCACAGAACTCCTCATCAGATATCATAGCTCACAACAGCTTTATCCCAGTCCACATTCACTGGCACTTTCAAGCTGAAGTGCCACACGTTGAGAACTAGACTAGCTGAGACCTAAACAAGTTTCCTTCTATAAATCTTACTGCAGGGATATTAAACTTTCTGTGGGTATAGTGAAATCTGACAGAGTGAAGGAACTTAGAAACTGAAACCACTGCAGCAAGACTTATTAAAATGTTGAGAGATTTGCTAAGAAAAGAATCTTAACAAGAATAAATGCATCTAAATAATTTATCAGCCTCAACCAAGTTTCAGTGAGAGTCAGACTGTTCCAATTATTTAAGGCCTGAATCCTGAGAATTTAAAGAAAAGACCTGCCAAAACCACCTGCCAACTCCAGAATAACAACCAGTGTTTGCCACATACCTCATACTCTAAAAACAGGACACAACTATGGTATTTCACAATACCACCATGATAAACTTTGCCAAGCTTTTGTGAAGAGAACTTTCTTAGTTAACAAAAGAAAAGCCCAAAGACAACTGAAATACAGATAGGAATACTTAAACAAATACAGCTATCTGAGACAAAAAGAGATATCCCTTTCCTCTCCCTCAAGTAACTTTTTTCTTAGTTCTATAAAACACTCCTGTTACTTAGAAATAGGTTTATAAAGTCAAGTACATTCAGACAACTTAATTACAATATTCATTCTTAACTCAAGAAAAGGTGCTCTTGAAGGAAGCAAGTATTAAGCAAGCAAAAAGCTCAAGCCTTCCATTTTTCAATGGAAGGTAATAAGCATTTCCAATGTAAACTACGCACTAATTTCCATATCACAACGAAAAAGTACAGGGATTTATCCATATAGCTTCACGTACAAAAAGATGACCTACAGACTGCATTATAGAGTGCTATCTCTAAAACACGTTATTTGGTAGTCCAACTCTTATCCACTTTAAATGCCTTTCATACATCGTGATAGCTGCTTCAACTCCATAAAAGTTCAGCATTGTTCAAGTGTACAGCAGAAAGCTCGTTCCCCTTTAATTCTGATTGAAGTGCACCATGCAAAACATGAATAATTTTGATTAAGTGGTATGTGGGGATTGAGGTTTTTTCCTTTGGTTGTGGTTGTTTTGGGTTTGTTGGGGTTTTTTGGTTGGATTTTTTGCCTGTTTTTTATTACGATTACAGTAAAGCAACTTTCTTCTAGGAAGAGCATTGCTTTGCAAAACAGAGACAGGTGTCTGTTCAAAGGTATCTGTTTTATAGAACACAGTGTAGTTTTGAAATTTGCAAATTTATTTCCCACTGAACTTCGACAGAGCAGACTGACCTGTAGTCAGATTCCAGAGGATTCTGAGGTTAGTAACTGCCATGCAGTCTACACCACAAACTCCCAAATGGCCTCAGAGCAGAAAGTTTATAGGCTCCAGAACATCACATCAGATTTTTCAAGTCAGCCTAAACCTTGACTTTGGGCATTCCAAGTGAAAAGTATTTGGAAAGAGCTCTTGCATTTCCCATTTGACACCACCATTTGACAGAAACAGAATTGTTTTGTTCTCAAGTGGGAAAGAATTTAAAAAAAGAAAAAGAATCCGATTTTCCTATAGAAGTGCTCATTATTGATTTATGTAACTGTACTACTTACAAAATATTTAAAAGCAATTAATTACTGATTATTAAATAAACATAAATAAAAGAGCTAAGAAAATGTTTCCTAATGTGTAACTACATGTAGGTGAAAAAAGCCAAGATCAAAAAAAAAAACCAAAACAGAACTGAAACTTTTTACAGTTTCAGCAGCCAGTTACTACAGGAAAACGAAATAATGCTTCTAAGGAGTTCTAAGCTTAACTTTCCATCAGCAAGTTATGTGACATACACAGCAACTAACAATTTTATAATTGTCAAAGAACTAAGAAACAACTGAAGAGAATGCAAATATCAGTTTAAGTCCATATCAGTAAGCCTTCAAAAATCCAAACTGAAGTACTGTTTTCGGAACACACAGTTCTATTACCAGTTTCATGTGTACCACCTTTGCTGTGTTGAACTGCCTCAGTTACCTGCTTGCATAACGGGAAAAATACTTACCTATTCCCCAGAAGTTGTGAAGCTTCATACTTGCCAAGTACTGTGAGATTCTTGATGAAAGATTCCTATATAAAATCAAAGACCCATGCAACAAGGTTTTGGATTCTTCACCTGTTTTGCATTCTTTTTAGGAAAGCTTCTATCTAACACAACACACCAGTCTAAAGTGTAAGTTAAAACACATCACTCCAAGTCAAGCAGTACTGAGAACAAAGTTTCAAATTCTGACAGAAAATTCCTGTTTGAAAAAGGTGGAAGTAATCATTCCATCATAAAATTACTGATTCCATCAGAGCATTGCACAATTAAATACATCCAAAACAAAGGAATTTTCTGCTGGATCCTTGTAGTGCTGTCGATAAGACAAACCCACTGAGTGCGGGACTTGCCCTGATCAAAGACACTACAAAGAAAGATGGTTTAGTATCTGGAGATGGGGTTTAAACTACTGAAGAGGGCACCTGGAGACGTCTGCAGAGTGTGCGCAGTTCTTCGCTATTTAGAGCATCGATCCTGCGGTGATACTCAGCCACTGACACTACCTGAATATGGAGACAGGAAGACAATAATTCCACTGACAGTTGAAGAAAAGTAAAAGGTAAGAAAGAAAAAAGTGGAGGAGAGTAATGAAGGGAAAATGTGCAATGATAACAAACAAACAAGAAGTGCTAAAAGATGTTTGTTTCTGCAAGGACAATGGGCACATAGGTGATTTTAGACATATGAGTAGACACAGCAAAATTACAAATTAAACACTAATGGCACTAGCAGTCAGATATACCTCACTGCTCTAGGATGAATATAGAGCTGATACAGGAGCGCATAAAGTTAGCAGTATCAAGATGCTAAATTAGAAGTCAATCTGAGTCAATCATGCCTTAATCCAAACTCTTCAGCCCAAAGTCCTCTCAAACACTCTTTATACCCAGATTAATGACTCCTGTGAACCTGGTTTGCTTTCCTGGATAAAGACCAGAAGCAAACGTCCAGCTTCTCAGTAGGCTCTGACTCTTCTATCTGGCAGCGAAGATAGAGTTAAAGACAAAGGAGCAGGACTGAAGTTTAATATTTCCCCAATACCACCCATCATATCTTTATCCTGGACTTTCTATTCACCTCCAGTGCTTCAGGAGCTGCTCATCTGTCAACACATTCATTCCAAATGGCACCTCCACTTTGGCAGGAGGTCTACAGCCAGAAAGCCTTTAGTCAGAAAGCTCTAAACATGCTGCTCTGGTGCAACAAGCTGGCTAAAGGACTACAACAGTCATTTTGATGTAACTACAGCAAATAATGTGATTTTGAGAATGACTCAAAAATCATCATTTATATGAAAGCATCTTAAAACAGCTGGTGGAGAGATTAAATGGATGTCCCATGTAGTAAGAGTGTATTAAAAACTTCTAGAGCCTACCACAGTGCAAAGGAAGATAACCACAAGTCCAGCAGCTCCCCATCTACCTGCCCTTACTACAAGGAGTTTGGCCAGATACTCGCCACTGTCCTGAGTACAGAGCCCACAGTCATGCATGACTGGCTCTTGAGCAGCGATGGTTCACTCTACCCCATGCAACTGCAAGGCAAGGAAAAAGGAATACTTGTGACATCCAATTTTATTACTGAATAATCAGTACTTACTAGCGCTCAATTTCCACCATTTTGTACTCTTCTCTTAAAAAAAATATGAAGAAAATTGTTGTAAATTGTATTGGTTTGTGCATTCTCAGTCAAGTAGTTATATGCAAAGCTTTAACAGTATTCCACTCAAGCATCTAAGTGATAATGTAATTTTATCCTTTTATTTGCTATGACAGTTCGTTGTAAATTACATTGTTCACCCCAGCACCTTATGAATGTAATCCTGAAAAGCAATAATGTGAGGACCCTTTAGCCTTGTTGCTTCTTTAAGGTCAGCCTTTATCACATGAGAAGCAGTAGTTAACTTACAATGGGCCATAAATGTGTGGTTCTTGAAGAGATTCTTGGAAAAAAAAAATTCTCATAATCCCTGACACCATTATATACTTGCTTCTTCCACGTACTGGAATGCAAACAATTTTATACGCAATGCCATCTTGCCTTTGACCTGTCAAACACATACTCTATCAACATCCTGCACCTGGGAGCTGCTTATTGACCCTTTTGCTCAGTGATCAAGATCTGATACACCTTTTCATATGTCATAGGGGTGCCTGCACCCTCAGAACAGTGTGCACAAAGTATTTGGATAAATTTCTTACCCGAGAGAAACATGAATACTTGTTCATGTACGTACATAATAGTTCCTTGGCATCCTGAGCCTGTTGCACAAGAGCACATTACATCTTTACATCTGCTTTATGAACAAGAGCCTGTGTAGTGGCAGACCTTTGGTATGCAGTGACACACATCATAAATAGCCTGACACAGAACGTCAAACTACCAACAGCAAAATTAAGGGCAAGGAATCCACCCTCTCAGACACAGTGCTTATTTTAAATATACAGTCCATACTAAATTCTGTGAGTAAACCACAGGACAAAACTATCTCAAGGTTATCCACTCATCACTGAGCTAAGCTTTAAATGAGTACATTAAGATACCTCAACAGTTCAGCTACAGTACCTGACCTTCTACAAAAGGCTTATGGGCTTAGATCAACATGCCTTATTTTTGCTTTGTAGTGGACAAGATTATGTACTTTAATCATGAAGTGATGTATATCTAAGCCTACTGGCAACTACCTTCTACAGCTTCATTCAGGAATTGACCAAGGTGCATCCTGAAAACACCTACCATTTGTCCCTGCAAGGCTTGGAAGGGTTGTTTTGAAATTTCAGTAGTATCATTAGTTCAAAAAGTTTATTCTGTTTTACAAACTGACTTAATTCACAGTCTGCTTATGGTGTTTCCTCTTCCATGAGGACTTCTTTATTTTTCTTCCTTGTAATCATAGTAATCCTCTACTCTATTTCACCAAGCTAAATAAGCCAGTATTTTTATTCCCTTCCCCCCACAACTGCATCAGCTACATCAGAAAACATGGGATGAGTTGTATGACTCTTGTAGTGTGAATGCCTTTAAGCCTGGCTCTCCACACCATGTATATGTGAGTTAACCACTTAGCAGAACACACAACAGTTTAAATATTTAACACAGTAAGTCAAATTGAGGTTTTGCATACTAATGATTCAACCAATCAAGAGGTTTAGGACTCTCCCTTGGGAGAAACATTTCTAAACCTTGTTTTTTCTAAAGTATGTCAGAGTACCTAACTCTTGCAAACTATGCTGGCATATGCAGTGAGCAGAAATGAAATCTAAATTCCCAATACAGAACTTATTTGTCCATGAAGGACATTTTGCCACGCAGGCGGTGACGCATCAGCCCTTTCAGCCACTGGTGATATCAACCTGCTACAGGCAGCTGTAAAGATGAGAACTGCTTACACCAGTGAGGCATTCCTCTGCCAGTTTAGCAAAGCCAAGAGCGGCCAACACACAGCACGTCATGCATGGTTGCTAACAGGGCGGTGTAACTGCTGCCCTCAACCGAAGTACAGCTAAACTTCCAGAGTTAACAAGTAGCTGAAACTGTCTCCTTAGAGAAGGGTCGGTCTTATCAGAGCTGAACAGCACTTCGGAAAGATAAGCATGGAGAAAGTGCAACTGTTTAGATGGTTCTCCTCAACACAAGTTATCTGTAACCCTCATGATTAACTGCAAACATGAAATAAAAACCCCCAAATATTAAAGAGAATGAAAGCTGAACAATCTTACTTTGAATCTTAATACATATGTGTAAAATCAGGTGAACTGCAAGCTTCATGAACATTATTTCTTGAGAGTAAAAAAAAAGTTTCACCTTTAAAGTTCCAGGATGTTTAAATGAAAAAATAAATGCCAACTTAATTTTATCAGGCCATTTTACAAAGTTACTCCAAAATATCAGTCCATCTCCAATTCATCGCTAAATGGGGAGGGGGGATAAAGGATCAAACTCTTTCTAAAGTCTGTAAATATCGTCCAATGAAAATAAAAGGTGCATTTGTGAACTGAATGCTGTTATGAATATTATAAAAGAATACACTAGCTTTATTTTTCTGACAAATTCAGTTTCCTCCCAAAATGTTAGACACTACTTGAGAGAAAGCAATATTGAAGAAGCAGACTTCACCACCACAAAACCAATTATTTGGGACATAGAGATTACATTACAATAATGCATTAATACATGGGGTTTAACACATCAGATAAAGAGTTATAAGGTATCATTCTGAAAAAAACCTAAGACTAATTTAGTTTAATTCATTTTTAATGAGTGTGGCTGCAAAGCTACCTATTTTCTGTCTCATGTGCTTTTCAGACAATTCAGCTCCCTGTCACTCCACTGGTGACGAGAAAGGGAAGGTAGAAGACGTAGCCATTTTAAGCAGAGATGAGGGATCAGAATCACAGCACTCTCCTGAATTGGCTGGCACTATACCAAGCCACAATTAACATAAACTGAAGATAAATTAAAATATCTGCAATAACCAGAATTAATAAATTAACTTGAGAAGAAAGCAATCAAAGCCTGCAGCACACAAAGCGTTACACCGAGTCTGGAAACCTTCATAACAAGCTGGTTTTTTTCCAGATACGAGGATTCCAGGGACTAATTTGAGAGATACAATAATGCCACCAAGAGAACTAAATTTAACATGGGCAAACATTAAACAAAGTTTAGGATGTTTGTGCAGAGAACTAAGAATTAGATTTAAAAAAATTACTTTTTTAAAGAGGCAGCTCAGGGGCAACATAACTTTTGTTAAAAAAAAAAAAAGAAGACCTGTAGCAGCATTACCAATAAAACCCAGCTGTCTAGGCAGAGTTGATTGATCTTGCAAAATAATTTAAGGAAGTTTCAGCACTGTCAAGCAGAGAAACTAGAAGTTCAGTTGCTGAAATGACAGCACCTGGTGCCTGACCTCAAGCTGCCACTCCAGGAGTGGACTCAGGCAGGCTGAGCAAGGTTACACCTCGGTTCTGGTAGTGCCGTGCAGAGATCCTCTCAGGTATGACAAGGGAGTACTATACATGCTTAGAAGTACATAACTGAGTCAGTCCAGTATGAAAATATTTCTCTTTTTCATCAGAAAAGGATCACCTTCAGATTGCACAGACCATTAAAAACATACAGAGAAAATAAGCCTCTATCACTAATTTGTTTTATTCCAAGTTATTATCAACCTTTTCAAAATGTTCGTCTGCTATTGTGCTTTGCATTTGTAGTGAGGCCTAATATTACACAATTATTAAAAACGTAAAGAATCTAGCACCTAATAATTAAATGGAAGATCTAGTCAAGGTATAATGTATAAACCCCCTAATTATTTAGGGCAGTGGGTATGGCAAATATCTCATTGAGGAAAGGTTCTAGACTTAGTGATCAGTGTAATAAGGTACAGGATTGCACTCTGCTTTTTTGAAGAGACTCAGATCATCAGTTTACTCTATTACTCTAAACCAAAACTTAGTATGGAAAGCTCATTTTAAAAAGATCTCTGTAACAGTATTATTGG